AAAAAAAAAAAAAAAAAAATAGCGCGCGCAATTAATTCTCCCTTCGTAACACGCGCGTTCCTAGCAACTGATACATTTAACTTTAGCACGCACAAACACTTATTGGATTAATTAAAATTAGTTTTGCTCAATTAAATTGTTTTCAAACAAATACTGTTATTTAAAATTCTTAGTGAAATTCTCATTTCGACTTTTAAATTCCACAAGTGCCACAGGTTTGTTAATGTTAGCCACTGACTATTTAGAGCTACCCTCGTAAGACAAGGACGATTTATGGCGATTTTATCTACTCGTGAAACTCAAATAAATAATATTAATTTTGATCAGTTTTTCTTTTCGGTTGTTTTTAAGATGTTTAAACCAAACAATTAATAATAATAATTTAGATGAGCTGTTTGGAATAGAATGATGTTGCTCTGAATACGTATTTACTTCAATTAACAAAAAAAGATTCCGCCCTAAATAAAGATATACTGAAAACAAACACTATTATGACAAGCCTTTTTGTGTGTTTGGGAGTCGTTTTGCGAAAAATTAATCAACTTGTTCGTAGGGGTTTTCCTTCAACGTTTACTAGCCGCTCAGTCCTTTCTAGTGAACGTCGTACTGTACTCAAGCTGTCTATACTGAAGGGTTTTGAGTTTTCTTAGCGATTCTCACGAGAAAAAGGTTTTTTACCTTTCAATAGAAGTTTGTTAAAAACCGACCGTGTCACCGAGAAAAACTACTTGCTTTGATATTATACTGATCAAAACATAATTAAAAAACGAATACTTATTTTTATTTTGTTTGCGCTAACAAAATATCAATAATGTTTAGGATTATTCACCGAAGTCGATGTCTTCGAGCAGCGAAAAACCATTCATTTAGTGTTTAATAAATTGTTATGTCCCATTATAGATTAGTTGGTTAATTTAAGGATTGATAAATTGTTTTATCCCATATAGATTGGTTGCTTCTCTCTTGTGCTTCGACGGTTTTTTAAATGTATTTAGTATTTTAAATTAGTATTCTTTAAGATATATAAACCAWATTGTTTTCTAGCCAAATATTAAATAATAAACCATTATTTGAGCTGTTTGGAATAGAAAGATGTTGCTCTGACTACCTACTTACGTCGTTATAAAATAACCTGCTTTTGGAAGGCGTATCATTGCCCAGATTGCATCCCATGGACAAGGAACCAAATGAGCAAAAAAGGTTTATGAACATGAAGTCTATTTTCGTGGTGTTGGCCTGCTTGGTGTCGTCTTCACTTGCCTGCTATCAACAAGGAACATGCCGTAAGTTAATGAAATAGTTTGTTCTTTAGTGACTTCACACACGCACTCATTGCTTTAAGGACCAAGTGAAGCTTGGTGGTTTAATCTTCATTGACCTCACACACTTAGTTTAAGGAGCAAGTGTGACTTGGTTGGTTAGTGTGCTGCCTCAAATCAAGAGGTCCGTAGTTTGATCTTCAGTGACCACACACATTTGTTTTTTAAGGAGTAAGTGTGGCTTGGTTGGTTAGTGTGCTGCCTCAAAGCAAGAGGTCCATAGTTTGATCCTCAGTGACCTCACACACTTGTTTTAAGGAGCAAGTGTGGCTTGGTTGGTTAGTGTGCTGTCTGCTAAGCAAGAGGTCCATAGTTTGATCTTCAGTGACCTCACACATTTGTTTTAAGGAAAAGTGTGGCTTTGTCGGTTAGTGTACTGCCTGTTAAGCAAGAGGTTCAGAGTTTGATGTTCAGTGACCTCACACACTTGTTTTAAATGAGCAAGTGCGCATGGCTTGGTTGGTTAGTGTGCTGCCTGCCAAGGAAGAGGTCCATAGTTTGATCCTCAGTGACCTCTCACACTTGTTTTAAAGAGCAAGTGTTGTGCTGCCTGCTAAACAAGAGCTCACATACTTAGTTTATAATTTAAAACCTTACTCACCATCCTAGTGTCGGTTTATTTTTCAGACGACTGGTCAAAGCTAAACAACGAACCTGTTTGTTTCGAGGGCAGAAACAACAAACCAGGCATCTTCAAACCTAGTTTTGAGGGATTTGTCGCCGCTGTAAAACTTGTTCACCGTAGTGGTAACATTGTCTGCGGACAACTGGCGGGATCTCATACTAGCAACTGGGGATGTCACGCTTGGCCACACCTCGTAAACAGCCCTTTGAACATCCTGGTTACCAATGAACACAATGATGTCATCTTTCCTAAGACTGGAGCAACGTAAGCTGCATGATGCTATTTAGTTGTTAGTTTTTGCTATTTTTTTGCTTTGCTTTATTGTTTTATTTATTCTTTCTTTTTTCATTTATTTATTTATTTATCTCTTTCTTTCATTCATTCTTTCTTTCTTTCATTATTTCTTCCTTCCTTCCTTCCTACCTTTCTTCTTTTCTTCTTCTTCTTTTTTTTTT